TCTCCTCGTCCTGTCGCCTTCACTCTCCCCCCGGCTATTGCTGGCTGCAGCAAAGATCCCCCACCGCCCTCGCCCGGTCCCACCCCAAGCACGGTGCGGGTGTCCCTTGGCCCGCCGTCGGCTTGTTCCACTCCCAAGCGTGCGCGATCTGGGAAGTGGGCGCAGAGTACTCTCGTCGTTGGAAACCGCTGTATTCCACCGCCTGAAAAGCCGGCTGATCCTCCACCGAAAGAAGCTGAGCTGCCGGAGGAAGTTGACATCCCTGTGTGCGCGGATACCGGCTCGCCCGCACTCACCAAGGCACAGATGCGAGAGCAGATTTACCTGGAGGCGAGTATGAACTACGAGACTTAGTGGTCGGGATACTTCTCTTGGCTGGTGTTTGGGAAAACCAAGGACAGTTTTCCCTATGAGAAGTGCAGCATCTGCATGCCGTTCGGGAAGTTGAACACGAGGTACGCCATGCAAGGTGACGATGGAGGCCATGACTTGCAGACGCACGAGCATACGAACGCACACAAGGCGGCGGTGGATCGGAAGTTGAAGATTGCGGCGGGCATCCGCGAGGGGCAGCAGGTGATTTCGGACTTCATCAACTCCGACGTCGAGGGGCGGCGTGCGATTCGTCTGATGCGGTCTACTCAGTTCATGTGCCAGTGTGACGCGCCGATTAGCATGTTTCCTAAGCCGATGCGGCATCTTGCGGAGCGGGACACGCCAGACATTCCTCGACAATCTTACGGCATGTATCTGACTTGGTAATTTATGCTACAGTTCACTTGCTGACTCCAATTCGTTGCTGGTGTCCTTGCTTGACTATCGTTTGCTCACCATTTCTTTGTCCTTTCTGCAGACACGGCTTCCAGCATATGGTCCACAGCATCAGCAAATACCTCACGCGGGTGCAGATGGACCACATCTTGGCATCCCCCTTCTTGGGCATCCAATCCGACGAGAGCACTGACTGAAGGCGAGGGAAACACATTATTGTTTACCTCACGTTTATGAAGGATCGCCAAGTCGTATGCGCGTTCTTTACTTCGCGGACGGTTGAGCAATGTGATGCAGGGTCTCTATTCGAGGTGCTTCTGAACCATCTCCGCTCCGCAGCCGTGGATGTGTCCAAGATCATCGGCATCAGCACGGATAGGGCGTCGATCATGACCAGGAAAGAGAATGAATTGGTGGTGCACCTGTTTTCATGTCACTGCATCACCCATCGGTCTCTATCTTGGTTTGTTTTACTGCTGGTTTTCTACGCTGATTGGTTTACCGTATTACCACAGAAAGTAGCGCATATGCGCTTATAATAAAATCGGTTTTTTTTGTGGGGGCGCTTTTAATTGAGTATCGGCCATAAGCGCCGGCGCTTATATAATCACAAATACAGAAATACAACTTAAACGCATTAAAATAGTACATTTCCGTCTCGTAGGTTCAATCGAGTCGACATTCAATAGCGTCCTAAATTTGAATCGCGTAAGGGCGAATCTCTCACGCTGCACATAGCTTTTCGCACGTCAATTTGCCCGCGTGCCACTCATCGTGACTGGACGCAAAACCAGTCAGGACCTCGAAAGTCAAACAAAGTGAGAATGGGTGCTGACTCGCTTGAATTTCGAAATTCGTTACTATTTTAATCAGGATTGAAAGAATAAAATTGTACATGCGCTTATAATAAATCAGGGTTTTACAGGGGGGGGCGCTTATAATCGAGGAACGGCCATAAGCGCCATGCTCCAGATTTAGGCGCCGGCGCCTTTAATCGGACGGCGCCTATATCCAGGGCCATACGGTACTAGCAACTCTTGATTTGTATTCCCTACTTCCAACAGTGAGGCGTTGGCTGTGAAGGACGCCGCGGAGTCAAACCCGGACCTCGGCATGGTCGACAAGGTGGTGCGGCGACGCTGGTCGGAAACTCAAGCGTATGGAGTCAGCGGTTCAAGTACCTGCAGCGAGTCATCGACAAGACAAACCTCGAAGTCCAAGGGATCCACACGGTTTGTGTCAGAATGTTCTTATCTAGCCAGTAGTGGGGTGCTCTATAGCGAGTACAACCCTGTTAGGGTTTGCTATTTGTATCCCCATTCTTGCTAGTCAAACCACTCTTCTTCTCTTCTTCCTCTCTAAACTTTCACATGCTATCAGAGCAAGTACGCTCCTGGCCTGTGGGCCTACCTGCTTCCGCTGCTATCCTGTCTGTCGCGCGCCCCGTGGCGTGCGACGTTTATTTTCTTCCCGCCACGTGCTCGGGGCGCATGGCGGTTTTCTGCCCGCCGCGCGCTCGGGGCGCGCGGCGTTTTTCTGCCTCACGCGTCACCCCGAGGACCCGCGGGTCCCTCCCCGTCGACCGTCGTGTCACCCCGGGGACCCGCGTGTCCCTCCTTGTCGACCGTCGCACCGCCCTTGGAGAACCGCGCGTCCCCCCCGTCGACCGTCGCGTCGCCCCTGGGGACCCGCCCGCGCCCCCCGCGATCCCGTTGCGTCGCCCTAGGGACCCGCGCGCGGCCCCCGCCATCCCGGCGAGCCACCCCGTGGGACCCGTGCGCCGCTTCGTGGACCCGCGTGTCGCCCTGCGTCCCCCCTCCCCACACACCTGAGTTCACTTTCCGCACATCCGAGTTCGCTTCCCGTATGCTTGTGCACGCTTCGCGCACACCTGAGCTCGCTTACCGCACACTCAGGGTATGGGGGTGACAGGTATGGGGGTGGCAGTTGTGCATTCCTCCCTTTGCTCCTCCTCCTCCTTCGTCTCCCATTGCTGCAGCTGTCGCTGAGGGGGGTGGATGAGTGGGAGACTGGGGTTTAGGGTTTAAGGGGGGTGCGTGGGAGTGGAGCTAGGGTTTGAGCAGTGGGCGTGTGCCGAGAGTGTGGGACAGTTGGGGGAGGTTGAGTGGAGGCAGCAGTCTTGTCGTCAGCAGCAGCAGCAGTCCGGAGGCTACAATCTCCGGTAGTCGCCAGTCGCCCGTGAGTCCGTTGCTCGTCTGCCGCTACTATTAGCCGCGGGGCCAGTTACTCCAGTAGTCCGGAGCGCTGTTCCGGTAGCCACTGAGCCAGCAGCTCGTCTGTTTGTCTGCGGCGTCAGCAGTCGCCTCCCATCTTCTCTCCCCCACAGCTCCTCCTCCTCACTTGTCCGCTGTGATTAGCTCTAGCTTTGCTCATAATTGTGAACTTTTAAACTGTTGTTTCTTGTACTTGTGCTCAGAATGTGTGGTGACATTGTGATCCACCCTGAGCTTGTTCTATGCCTGCTTGCTCTGCTGATTACACCCCACTTTGGCTATGGGGGTGTGTCAGAATGTTCTTATCTAGCCTGTAGTGGGGTGCTCTATAGCGAGTACAACCCTGTTAGGGTTTGCTATTTGTATCCCCATTCTTGCTAGTCAAACCACTCTTCTTCTCCTCTTCCTCTCTAAACTTTCACAGTTTGGTGGTTGTCACGAGGTGATGCGGTGCGTCGGCTGTGCAAGGTCCTCGGCGCTTGCATCGTGCTGCTCTGGGAGCACAACCACAAGGCCTCCGAGATCGTGACGTGCTACAAGTTCCAGTTCTGTTTGTTTTTCCTGGGTGACATTCTGGCGGACATGAACGACCTCAACCGCAGCCAGGGCCTCAGATTGGTATTTGTGTACCCTGAGCACTCAGTGTCCCTAGGCGGGTAACACTGATTTTCAGTGTCGTCTAGTGTGAAACACTGAATTTACAGGGTTGTTAGAAATAAAACGCTGATCAATCAGGGTTTCTACAACTTCAACACTCATCATAATAGTTGCTTATACTGGTATGCTGTCATAACACAGCGAATCAGACTGCCCTCACTTTACAATTCCCAAATTCGGCCAGGATTCTGCTATTTCCGTGTCTGATTGGTCAGAAATCTTGTCTGACCAATCGAATAGGACAATTGTTAAGAATTGTTTATGATCTCTGGTTGTGTACTTGACTGATGATTCGGACTTGGTTCGTCACAGCAAATTCGCCCTGACGGCAAATTCGACCTCGCACAGTCTTTACGCGCTGTCGCAGCACAGCAAATTCGCCCAATCACAGCAGCTTTGCCTTGACACAGCAGCAGATTCGCCCCTCACACAAGAGATTCGCCCTGTCAGAGCATGTTTCGCCAGAAATCCCCTTGGTGCACGGTGCACAGTGGCGGCGCGCCAAAACAAGGAGTTTTCGGTTTCAGGGTAGACCCCGATACTACACCGACTCGTCAGTGTCCTCAAACACAAAACACTGGAAAATCAGAGTTTGAAATCTAAAAACACTGAAACATCAGGGTCGTTGAAAAAAAAAGGCTGATGCATCAGGGTCATGATAAAAAACGGGGGTCAAACTTCAGGAATTCAGGGTAAAATTCCTGACATCTGAGGCCCTGACCGCAGCTTCCAGAGATGTGAGGTGAGTCTCAATACAAGTATGTTGTTGGAATTTGAGGAGTAATACTACACCGTTGCTAATTCTACTCCCTATTGTCTACTGCTGCTCTGTGACACCTGGATGTGACCGAGATTGCGAAGACGATCGAGTCCACCACGGGTAAACTGACGGAGCGCTACTTCACGACAAACAAAGCTTTCGGGGGCGAGGGGAAGAGCTGGCTGGTGAACTTCCTCAAGGTCCACAAGGAGGGTGGAGGCAAGCAGGTCCGGGTGCGAGGCGTGGACGGTGCCAGACGCCTAGTCAACCACCTGTACACCATGCATGAGAGGAAGTTGAAGGGTCACAAGCAGGGAAGCACCTACGCAGACTGCGTGAAGCTGTGCCGCCAAATCGCTCGCGACTGCGTTGACAACCTCAAGGAACGGCTGGATGACCTTGGGAAGCTGGGCCCAACGAAGCTGGGCCCAACGAAGCTGTTCCGGGCGGGCAAGTGGCCGAAGATCAAGGGAGACTTCAAACGAAACGTCAGCCCTGCTTCTAGCCCCCCCCCCCCCCCCCAACTCCCCTCCCCACCCCCCAGTTGCTCGCTGTACCCCCTGCTCTCGCCCCCAACCTCACCCCCCTACAACGGGCCCGCGGCCTGCGTCCTCCAGGATCTGCACCTCAGCAAAGACGGACATGACGCCGTTCTTTAAGTACTTGCTCTCGTCCTGCACCACCTCCGCCCACGGCCGCCCCAGGATGTTGCTGTACCCCCAGTTGCTCGCGTTGCGTCCAAACCCCTTGGTGATGCGGTCCCGCAGGTAGTCAAACTGGCCCTCGGGCCACCGCTTGGCGTAGAATATGAAGCTCACCTGCCAGAAGAAGGGGGCACGGGACGAGGAGGGAGGTCGGGGGGGATGGGAGGGGAGAGGTGGAAGGGGACGGAAATGGAAGGGGGTTGGAGGAAAGTGGGGGGGAGAAGAAAGCAGGGAAGGAGGTGAAGAAAGACCGATTTAAATTGGTGGCATTGTGCCCAAACCCCTTGGTCACGCGGTCACAAAGGTAGGCCTATAGACCACCTCTTGGCATACGATGGAGCTCAGATCACGAGGGGGAAGAGCGAAGAGGTGAGGTGAGGGGGAGGGAAGAGGGGGAGGGGAAGGGCGTAGGGAAGGGGGAATGGAAGGTGGAATGGAAGGAAGGCAGAAAGGAAGGGGAGCAGGATGGGGGAGGGAAGGTGGAAGGGCAAGGGGACGGGGAGAAAGCGACAGATGGATGGAAGGGGCGTTGGGCAGAAGAGAGGGAGGGGACTGTAGGGCAGCATCTGACATGGTGTTGGAAGGGAATATACTCAGCCTATATTTCACTTGATACCTGAATCTCCAAATGAACACTGTGACTCTTTCCCAGGTGCAGGTGAATGCAAAGGTGCAGGTGAATGCAAAGGTGCAGGTGAATGCAAAGGTGCAGGTGCATGCAAAGGTGCAGGTGAATGCAAAGGTGCAGGTGAATGCAAAGGTGCAGGTGCAGGTGAATGCAAAGGTGCAGGTGAATGCAAAGGTGCAGGTGAATGCAAAGGTGCAGGTGAATGTCCAGAGACCCCCATTTCAGATGCTACCCTGGAGTAGAGTGCCTGCACCATCACCCCCCTCCCTGCACCATCACCCCCCTCCCTGCACCATCACCCCCCTCCCTGCACCATCACCCCCCTCCCTGCACCATCACCCCCCTCCCTGCAGTGGTCTGAGGGTGGAGAGAATCACACCAGGGCCGCAAATCAACCATACCTGGATCTCCGGCTGCACGCTGTGGCTGTTTTCCAGGTACAGGTGGATGTCAAGCGTTTCCGTGCCATCGTCCCACCTGCCGTGCCAGGCTGACAGGTAGAACCGCTTCCCACCGATCCCAAACGTGGCAGACTCCACCGTCGCTGCCACTGCCAGCGCCTGGAGTTAAGAGAGGGATGAAGAGAGTGGAGGGGAGTGGTGGGGATGGGAGGGGAGGGGAGAGGAGGGGAGGGGAGAGGAGGGGAGGGGAGAGGAGGGGAGGGGAGAGGAGGGGAGGGGAGAGGAGGGGAGGGGTGAGGAGGGGAGGGGAGAGGAGGGGAGGGGAGAGGAGGGGAGGGGAGAGGAGTGGAGGGGAATGGAGGGGAGGGAAGGAAAGGGGAGGGGAGCGGAGGGGAGAGGAGGGGAGGGGAGGGGAGAGGAGGGGAGGGGGTGGAGGGGAGGGAAGTGGAAGGGAGGGGAGGGGGTGGAGGGGAGGGAAGTGGAAGGGAGGGGAACGGAGCGGAGGTTAGGGGAGGGAAGGGGAGAGGAGGAAAAAATAGTCAGAAGAATGTGATTCCTTCAGTTTAGCTATCCCATATGATCCAAACTCCTTGCAGCGGCTGTTACTGCACGGATGAAGGCGAGCGAACTGGCGCAAAACCACATCCTCTAGGCGAACACAGCCTACCTGACAGACACCAACAGATCACCCACCTGAAACCTCTCCAGGTGAATATCGAAGTACACGTGGCCCACGGAGTTGCGGTTCCAGCGGCGCTGCCAGAAGCGCCTGTGCGTGGCGGCCGTCTCGTTCATGAGGCGCAGGCGACACACCAAGCTGTAGGCCCGGAACCATGCTGCTTCCCTCATCTGGCAGGAAATAAGAGGTATGAACGGAAAATGGAGAAGAGAAGGCGAGCGGGGCGAGGAGGGTTGGTGGGGGAAGAGGGGGGAAGGTAAAGAGAAAGATGGGGAGGGAGCGAGGCGTTGACTTGAGCATACAGCACACCATCAAGCCCAGCAACCCAGCACCTTGACTTCTTGTAGACATGACCTGCCTAATCGCTCTCTCCCCATCGCCCAACTCCCCCCAGCGCCTGGCACTCGGGGCTGTCCACCTCGGGCGCCTTGAGCACCACGTCCTCGAGAGCAGCATGGTAACCCCCCCAAGCACCCACAACCCTCCTGTCGCGCCCTACAAGCGCCCTCCTGACACCCCACCCACCCCACCAAACTAATAACTCACCAGCGCCTGGCACTCGGGGCTGTCCACCTCGGGTGCCTTGAGCACCACGTCCTCGAGGTCGTCATGAGGGGAAACCGCACGTGCTCTGCTAGAAGCACTGCTGCCCGCCTGGTGGAGTGTGGTGGTGTGCGGTGGGGAGTGGTGGAGAGGGAACAAGAGCATTGATGCTTGATGATGAGTAGACCAGAGCACAGCACCACGTCATCGGGGTCGTCGCCTGTCATGAGGGGGAATCGCACGTGCTCCGCTAGACGCACTGCTGCTTGCCTAGTGGTGTGCATTGGATAGTGGTGGTGTATGGTGGGAGAGGTGGTGGAGAGGGAACAAGAGGATTGATTGAGGCATGATGGTGAGGACATGAGTGCAGCACTCTGCACCTCAAGGCTCTCACTTTCTGTCATGCAGGTCGTGACTAACAACCAGAGCACACTCACTTTCTGTCGTCCAAATCATCGTGGTGGTGCCGAAGCCACTCCACGATGGCATGGAACGCTGTGAGCTCGTCCCTTACATTCAGCTCGTCACTGGCCAGCAGCGTCTGCACGCCCTCCAGCGGCAGCTCCAGAAACTCCTCCCCCTTGTGCACGCGCTCCTAGATCCCTAAAATGCGCCATCAGAAACCCCCAGGAAGCTTCTAGCAGCTGTGCCACCCCCCGGTGCGAGTGCATGGATTCGGGGAGCGAGATGTAGAGGCAGGTGGTGGGGACGGTCATGGGGAGGTTGACGAGGCGCTCGAGGCAGATCTTCATGCAGGAGGCGACGCCGAACTTGTCGGCCACGAGGTACATCTTGATGATGTCCTCGGGGTCGCTGCTGCCCTCCTGCATGTCGCCCGTGTAGATGAAGCGCAGCAGGTCGATCACTGGGTTCTCCTCTGCGGGGGAAGGAGAAATGGGGGGAGGGGATTGGGGGTTGGGGTGCGACACAAGGTTAGAGTGAAAGGCAGGCAGGCTTGACAAAAAAGGCTTGTAGATACTTTCCTGTTTCCCAGCACCTTAGCTTGTGGCGGGGAAAAGCACGCGGAAGCATGCTGGCTTGGCACACAGCGCCTGCCTGTTGCAAGTGTCTGGTGGAATGCGGGTCGCATACTTCACCTTCTGGCGAGACGTTGAGCACGACAGGGTTGTTCTGACACGTCTCCTTGAAGCCACACGTGAAGAGCGTGCGGAAGAAGGCAGACTTGGCTGCCAGCACCATCGAGGACAGATGCAGATTCACCATTCTGTACCCACCACAACTCCCTATCGTCACACCGCCACCCCCACTGGCGCCCAGATTCAGACTGCCGCCCAGATTTGAGCCCCCAGTGCCGCCCAGATTCCCGCTACTGCCGCCCAGGTGGGAACTGACGCAGCCGCCCCCTCCCATGCCGCACCCACCACACGTCCCTGTCCCCACCGCCGCCCCTCCCACTGGCCTTTGGCTGGACTCAAAAGGTGCAAGGCCTGAAGCCCCGAAATTGCCGAATCGAGGCGCTCTGGTTGCTGGCCCCCAAACCCCCGCACCAGCCCCACCAGCAGCAACAGCAGCACTGCCAACAGCACCCGCACCAGCACCACCAGCAGCTGCAGATGCAGCAGTAGCAGTAGCAGTAGCACGAGCAGGAGCACCGGCACCAGCAGCAGAAGCAGCAGAAGCAGCACCGCCAGCAACAGCAGCGGCAGCAGGAGCGCCAGCAGCAGCAGCGGCACCATTAGCACCGCTGGTGGTGGTGAAGGGGCTGTGGGGGCGGCTGCCGAGGCTAGCTCCTCCTGCTGCCGAGCCTCTTGTCAGAGCTACAGCTTGAACCGGTCCCGAACCTGGTATGGCTGGAAAGCGTGCACAGGAAGGGCGGGGGCAGGCAAGAAAAGGGGGGGGCGGGGGGGGAGTGGAAGGGGAAGAAGCAGGCAAGAGGGAAGTGGGGAGGGAGGGGGAAGGGTGGGGGGGAGGTTTAAAGCAGGCAAGAGAGAGAGGGAGAGGAGGAAGGGGGGGGAGCAGGCAAGGGGGGATGTAGAGAACAGGCAAAAGGGCGAAATGGGGAGGGTGGGGGGAAATAGGCAAGAGGAGGAAGGGGGTGGGAGCAGGCAAGGGGGGATGTAGAGAGCAGGCAAAAAGGAGAAGGGGGGACAGCGGGGGGGGAGGAGGGGACGTGTGAAGGAAAGCACGACACATCTTAAGGGCTACCTGAAATCTGACAAATTGCCAGCTGCGGGATGAAACATGAAAAGGTTTCTTTGAATAAGATCAATAAAACTCGCCCTACGACCGCACGCGTTCACCTCCATCATTTTAGCAACCAAACGCACCTTGCGAATGATTGTTCACAGCAGCTACAAACGACAACTCGCCGTTCGCGCCTCTCCCTCCCCCTCGGCCATCAAAGGAGTACCTTCGCACTTGCCCCTCCCCAGTCCCGCCTCCCCTCCCCTTCCCCCTCCCCATCCCCCGCGCCCGCGCTCCCCTCCCCCTCCGCCTCCCCCTCCCCCCCTTCCCCCGAGAGGTCCATCAGATCCGCGCAATCGCTTCCCCCCTCCTCCCGCTCCATCCCCCCCGCTCCCCCTCCGATAGAAGAACATCGCTTTCCTAGATTCCCGGCGGCAGACCCGGCGGCTACGGCAGCGGCGGCGGCGGTCGGGGAAACGGGGCTTCCGCCTCCGCGGGACGGGGAGCCGCCGGAAGCAGCGCCGAAGCTTCCGCTGCTGCTGGAGCGACGCGGGGTTGTGGCTTCGTCAGGGCAAATCCGAAGCTGCACGATGCGGTCTGTGGGGGAAACAATCGAACGGATGGAGGAATGTAAGGAAAAGGCGGGGCAAAGGAACGAGTAAAGGCAAGAGTTGAAACGAAGCGGCAACAAGGGATGCAAGATGAAAGGATATTTTGAATACAATCACTCAATGTACAACGTACAATACAAGAGAGGTTACAACAATCACAATGGGCCTTGGAAACATAATTCTTGGAAAACCCCCCCACGGCCCCCCCCAGGCCCCCCTAAGGCCCCCTACCCCCCAATCCTCCTCACAGCCCCTCACTGCCCCCCAACCCGCACCCCCTATCCCCGGCATGGCATGCCCCCCCCTATCCCTGGCATGCAAGGATCAAAATTACGGTAATCGTACTTTACGGTCCGTATAATACGGTCGTTTTATACGGTAAATTTTCCAAAAATACGGCGTATTTTTGAAAGACTTGTTTTGATGCTTTTTTTCTTCTAACTAGAGAGAGCGGCGGTTGGGGTGAGGGAAGGGTGAGTTGAGTACCTCGTTGTGAAGTCTGGGCGTGCTGTGTCGAGTGGGTTGTGGAAAACGGTTGAGATACGAGGGGTAAGTTGATTGATTGGGTTGGTTTCGCATCGCGTCGGTTGGGTGTGTCGCGATTGCCAGCGAAAAAGAAATGCGGTGCGCGAAAATCCTAAACGGGCAAAGCGAAACGGGTAAACCTGTGTTTACCGTTCGCCAAATGTTGAAATGCAGCGCCAAGGTAATTTGTACACTTTGCGCTTCGGCGAGTATTGCCAACGAGTTGGCGAAACAGGTAAACTCCTTCGCCAAATGCCCAAATGTCGCGACTCGAGAAAGTCGTGACATTCGCGACTTGGCAAAACGTCACTTTCGTCTGTACGGGTGTGCGAGAAATTTGACTTCGGGAGAAACAGGGGTGGGAAATTTGAGACTTCGATATACACAGACCCGAATTCAAAAGTTCGGTCGTAAAATACGACCGTATTTTTGAACCAAACAATAAAAACACACATCCACCGTTTTAAACCGTTTTATACGATCGTATAATACGATTCCGTATTATACGGTAAAAAATCAATAATTCGGTCGTAATTTTGAACCTTGCTGGCATGGCATGGCCACAAAGCAACATGCAAGAGATGTTCCTACATTGTTGTTACCTTGGCCTTCTTCGGTTACTGTTCCTGTTTCCTGTTTCTCTTTCTGTGACAAGACGGCTGGAACGGTAACCGGGCAGCTGGAGCAGTAACCTAGCGGCAGGAACAGTAGCCGGGCGGCAGGAACAGTAACCGGGCGGCAGGAACAGTAACCAGGCGGCAGAAGTGAGTCGAGGGGAGCAGAGGTGAGAAGAAGGGAGCAGCTCTCTGTTCCTGCCTCTGTTTCTATCCCTTCCTCTCCATGTTTCTGATTCTTCTCTCCATCAGTCTCTCGTTCTGATGTGTCGCTCTAGCCATCGCTGTTACCCTGTCAAAAGAGCGGGGCAACAATGGGAGCAAGCGCCAGGGGCCTCACCTCACGGGCCTCAACAGCTCCACCCAGAGCGCTACGAGTCTGCCCCAACCTTTCCGCGTCTGCCCCGACTGCTCCGGGTCTGCCCGAACCGAACCCGGCCCAAACCAGCTGGTTCGGACAAGTCCAGCCAAATTGCCCCTGGAAAGGCCTCCACGGGCCTGGCCGGACCTCTCCGGCTCTGGCCCGAACCGCTCTTCAGCCCCAAAACACAATCCTCTTACACCCCAAGGGGTGGCCCCAACCAACCCCCCGGGCCTAGCCCGAACCAACCAGCCTCCCCAGGCCTGGCTACACTGGCTTATAGTTGATTACTGTACAAGCATACATATGAACCCATCCTATCAATCTCTATTATTATACTCTCTTTTTCTCGTCGCAACAGAATGTCATCGTGGCTGACACAGGAGAAAGTGGCACCTGCGCAAGGGGAGAGGTGAGGGAGGAGGGGGAGCAGTGGAGGCGATGGGAGAGAGCCAACACCACAAGCAACGACCGGCCTCACCTGGCCGTGCCGAGCCTCTCACCTGGCCGTGCTGAGCCTCTCATCTGGCCGTGCCGAGCCTCTCACCGAGCTGTGCCGAGCCTCTCACCTGGCTATGCCGAGCCTCTCACCGAGCTGTGCCGAGCCTCTCACCTGGCTATGCCGAGCCACTCACCTGGCTGTGCCGAGCCTCTCACCTGGCTGTGCCGAGCCTCTCACCTGGCAGTAGCAAGCCTCTCACCTGGCAGTAGCGAGCCTCTCACCTGGCAGTAGCGAGCCTCTCACCTGGCCGTGCCGAGCCTCTCACCTGGCCGTGCCGAGCCTCTCACTGGGCTGTGCCGAGCCTCTCACCTGGCTATGCCGAGCCTCTCACCTGGCTGTGCCGAGCCTCTCACCTTGGCTGTGCCAAACCTCTCACCTGGCTGTGCCAAACCTCTCACCTGGCTGGGCCAAACCTCTCACCTGGCTGTGCCAAAACTCTCACCTGGCTGTGCCAAACCTCTCACCTGGCTGTGCCAAACCTCTCACCTGGCTGGGCCAAACCTCTCACCTGGCTGGGCCAAACCTCTCACCTGGCTGGGCCAAACCTCTCACCTGGCTGGGCCAAACCTCTCACCTGGCTGTGCCAAACCTCTCACCTGGCTGTGCCAAACCTCTCACCTGGCTGGGCCAAACCTCTCACCTGGCTGTGCCAAACCTCTCACCTGGCTGTGCCAAACCTCTCACCTGGCTGGGCCAAACCTCTCTCACCTAGACATGAGCAGATCGACGAGCCTTGACTCGGCTCGACAGGCTCGCCTCGGGTTTCTCCCGAGTCGAGCCTTCAGTTTTGGCCCTTTGTCTCGGATCAAGCCGAGTCGAGCATGGCTCGTCGAGCCGGGCGAGCCGCTCGGCTCGGCGAAGCAATTTCGGCGAGCCAGGGATGGCTCGAGAGTCAATTTGACTCGTCGGGAGCCTTTGGCTGGCTCGTCGTTTTTATGTGACGAGTTGGGGGTCTGAGGCATAAGTCTTAATTCGTGATTCCGTGGATCGCGTTGCCTGCGGTAATAACTACGCTACACAGCGTACAAATCAGGTCATCCCTAGATCGAGAAAGGTTTTCCTTTCCGAAAAAGGGGGGAGAGATGCACAGTGAACTAAACTGCACATACCAATCTCAACGACACGGGTAACATCTAGGCGAATAACAACCCTGGCGAAACATTTGTGTTCCTTCAATAGAGGTGGCGAAAACAACGGAATTCTTGTTGACTCTCGACTGGTTCCTGAAAGCGTTCGTAAGCATTCTGCATCCAGCTTCATTAAGCTCGCTTTGTTCGCTTGTCCCTTCTCAAGCTCCCCCAGCCCCTCCCCTCTTTTCTCAAGCACGACAAATTCGTCAAGATTTTGCGGGTCGAAATTAGGGTTACTGTGTCAGGTCTAATTGCTCGACAACCTCGCGCGTGATTTCGTGCCTCACCAAGGAGTTTCTTTATCATTCCGTACCTCGTAGCGGCGAGACCGCATTAGACTGCCGATCTAAAATCATTCGACAACCTCGCCGGGTGCGTATTTTCGTGCCTTGATCATGATTCTGTAGATCGATAAATGAATAATTAATTTTCGAGTCGGGCCTGGCTCGGCTCGTCACGAGCTAATATGGCTCGACCCAAGCCCTTTACTGGCTCGGGTATATTGCCCGGGCCACGAGCCAACTGAGGTCACAAGTCGGCTCGGCCTGGCTCGACTTGACTCGGCTCGAGGGTAGGGCGAGCCACAGCCCACTCGAGACGAGCCCGGCTTGACTCGTCTCGTGCTCATGTCTACTCTCACCTAGTTGCCTGAGTACGGGGCGAGGAGACAAGCCGTTCGCGGGCGGCCGAGACGATACGCTTGCCACGCCTGCAGCGCGGAAACGCGCCGTTCTGCCGCTGTTGCTCGCGCTGCGGGAATCAATCAGCTGTTGCTCGCTAAATGGCATCTGCTGTTGCTCGCTGGACGGCATCTGCTGCTGCTCGCATGGCCGGCGGGAGAGTGGTCGCAAGGGGAAAAGGCAGTGAAGCAAAAGGATGTTAAACTGCACACAACGAAAGTAACACGAGACGGACGAGATGGGTGACTACTAGTTTGGCGGCGTGAGTTGGTGTAGATCTGACCAACGCCGTGTGGAGCGGAGCTTGGTTATGAGTCAACCCGAAAACCGACCGCCAACACCACGCTGCATTCAAACAGCTTGTAACAAAATGGGCCGTGCGTGAGAGGCCATCGCGGATCGTCGCAGCCGCCTTTCCGTGGCTAGCGACGGTCGGCGTCACTCCCCTGCCACGTGTCGTCCACCGTGGGGTTCTCGCCAACTCCCAAGGTGCGCTTGATCGCAGCGCGAGGCATTAAAACGTAAGAACCCGCAGCAAACCCCACCTTAATACACCGACCCCTACCGCATTGTAACGTGGCGCGCTGTTGCTCGCGCCGCGCCTGCCGTGCTGTTTCTCGCGCCCCTGCCGTGTTGATGCGCGCGCACCCTCAGCCTGCCGCGCCGAGCATGCTCGTGGAAGAGGTCTGCCGAGAAAGGTACACAACGAGCGGCGACGGCTCGGTTGTGAAACTCCCAAGGGAAAAGAGATGATCGAACAACGGGGAAGATACGAGGTGGAAGGAGGTCGGTTCGCTTGGCAACGCGGAACTGGCGGACGTGACGACGCATGTACGTACTGCTTCTCGCGAGAGCCGCGCTCGCTGCTGCTCGCGGAAGCATCGCGCTGCTGATCGGCGGGGGAGAGAAGCCTCAGTCTGCGGATTGCGGAAACCTCGCCCTGCTGATCGCGTTAGACGCACGCTGCTGATCGAGGAAGCCCCGTGCACTGTGAAATAGAAAACAAAGAAAACAACAGTGTTAGAAATCTATAAAATGACTGAGGGGGAAGAGAGGAGGTCGGGGTGGAGAGGGGAGGAGGTCGAGGTGGTAAAGGGAGGAGGTCGAGATGGGGAAGCGAGCGATCAATAGCGGCAAAAATCTTTCTCGTTTCAGGCGCACCTGCTGCGCTGTTTCTCGTACGCCTATCGCGAGATGCTGCGCGCGTTCACCCTTCGTGTCTTCCAGCTTGCGCAGCTGCCGGCACGTGTCGCACGGCCAAGCATCGCCATCTTAAATAACTCAGAAACTCTCCCGTTTCTGGCGCGCCTGCTGCGCCGTTGCTCGCGCGCACGTCGCGCTGTGTCACAAGCGCACGCTAGCCGCTGCCTGCGGTCTTGTACGTGCGCAGCCTTTAGTCTAGACTATGAAGACTATTTAGAGTCTTAGTAACAAGCATATGAAGCTCTGGTCAACTGTGTGAAGGAATTTGCTGGAAAACGTCAGGCAGAAAGTTCAAGTAATTTCATTGAAGAAGGCATACAAAAACAGAAAACACAAAGCAAGTTATAAGCAAAAGGATTTCTGATTTCGCCCTCGCGCCGCGCCTAATTTCGAGCTGACTTGTACTCGGCTCAATTTCCAAATCCAACCATGCACCGAACGCGCCTCGAGTTCGAATTTCAGACTTCCTTGGACGCGCCTTTGACCCGGCGTGACTTCCCTTCACTTCACTTCAAATCTCGACATTTCAGCCCTGATCTTCTCCACATCCGCACGCTCCCTCTTGTTCTCTCCGTTTCTCACCATAGGTTCCGCCGCTGCCGTGTTCCTTCATCTACCGCCCCAACACAAGTAGCTCATATTCTTCTTAGGTCCTTACTCCCCCTTAGTCACTGCTAGTCACACCGATTTCTTCTTAGGTCGACGTAGGTCCCTTTAGGTCGTGGTTAGCTAACCACCTGCAACAATCTCCCCTGTGGTTTGCTAACCACCAGCTTATGCACTCTCCCTCGCACATTTCAACTTGAACCACCTCTAGCCCTGCTCCACACTCCCCTGCAATTCAGCCAAAGTACGCATCCCAACCTCTCTCTTGCAACGCTCAAAATTAGCCCTTGGTAACACCTTAGTCAGAAAATCTGCTGCTTGTGCCTCCGTACGTACGAATTCAAACTTGAACTCCTTGCTACTCACCTTTGAACGCACCCAATGATACTTCACATCCATATGCTTGGTCCTCCCATGCCAATTGTCGTTGTGAGCCAAGTCGATGGCAGATTTGCTATCCGTGCGTATCACTGTCGGCCCTTCCACCTTGATTTCCATCTCCTTGAGTAGCCTTCTCAACCAAACCCCCTCTTGGCACGCGAAAAACAGAGCCATGTTCTCCGCTTCCGCACTAGAGAGCGCTATGTCAGCCAACCTTTTCGCTTGCCACATGATGGCTGTCCCACCGAGCAGAAACACGTAACCGTATGCTCCCTTCCTTGTTTTCTTGTCGGATGCATGTGAAGCATCCGCATACCCCACTAACTCCAAGGTCTCTTCACCTCCTTCAAATAACAGCCCCTCATCTTCATGTTGTAGTAGGTAGTCAATAGTCCTCCTCATCTCTCTCCATTTTCTCTCCCCTTGCTGCTGCACTTGTTGCCCAAGATAGCTAGCTGCGTATGCCATGTCGACGCGCGTGCATGAGACCGGATACATGATAGACCCCACCATAGACTGATATACTTGCAGAGCTCTCTCTTTGCAGCCCCATTGGTTGACATCCTCCTCCCTTTCACTGTCGCTTTCAGCTACCCCACTCAGTGGTGTAGAAATTGCCTTCGTGTAGTCGTTGCCAAACCTCTGCTGCACCCTGCTGCAATATTTCTGCTGGTATAGGAACATCTTCCTCTCCTCCTTACGTCGCTCCAGATTCATGCCGAGAAAGAGTGTGGTCCTCGGAATCTGCTTCACTTGAAAAACTTCCGCAAGATGAGCACACACCTTCTCTACCTCCTCCTCTAACACCCCAGCCACCAAGATGTCATCCACATATAGCACCAGGAACACCTTCTCCTTCTCTTCTCCCTTCCAGTAGAACGCCCTATCACACTCACTTTTCTGAAATCCCCCTTGCAGCAGCCGTTCATCCATCGCCATGTACACTCCCTAGGACTCTGCTTCAGCCCATATAATGCCTTGTTGAGCTTGCATTTTCTGCCCGAGCCGTCGTCATGCCCTGGTGGTTGCTCGAGGTAGATGTCCTCCTTCAACACCCCATACAAAAATGCGTTTTTAATATCCAGCTGCACCATGAAGTATTTTCTTGCTGCTACCACCTTGAGAAAGACCCTTGCCGTTGCCAACTTGCTCACTGGAGCGTAGATCTCATTTTGTTGGTAGTCTTTCCCCTCCACCTGAGTGTAGCCCTTGGCTACAAGCCTTGCTTTGAACCTTTCCAGCTGCCCCATATCTCCGGTCTTGATTTTAAAAATCCACTTCACCCCCACGGCTTTCCTCCCTTCCGGCATAGGCATGAGCTCCCATGTGCCTCTTTCAGCCAATGTGTTCAACTCCTCCTCTATTGCTGCTTTCCACTGCTCTCTTTCTGGACCCTCTAGTGCTTCCTTGATGCTCACTGGTTCTTTGGGCAGGTTGTGGGTCACTTTTCCTTCATTGGAGACTAGGTCAGTAGCTGTGGCAGAGAGTAGAAGGTGGGTATGGATGTCCTTCCAGCACGTCATCAGCAGTTGCGCATACCGAGGGTTTGGTTTCTTCACCCTCTTTCCTTTCCCCAACTCCTCTGTAGGTGATTCAGCCTCATCTCCACTGAGATCCTCCTTTGCCTTCTCATTCTCATCTCCAGATTTCACTTCCCTTCCAATGATGATGGCACCTTCCTTAAGCAGGTCCGCTATCTCTCTCATCTTGACATTGCTGTCTTCACTATCTATGAGCTTCCAAGGATCACTATCTCCTTCAGCTGCTGATTCTTCATCTCCCTCTTCTCCAGCCACTTCATCATTGCCACCCTCAGCTACTTCATTGCTTGGCTGCTCCCCTGCTATCTCCACTCCATTGGTTTCATCCGCTTCACTGGTTGGTACCTTCTCCCACACCCAATCGACTGAATCTGCCCGTTCCACATCTTCAAGCTCCTCATCTCCTTCATCTCCAACTCCCTCACTCTCCTTTTCCTCCAAAAGATCCTCCACCTTGTCCGGTGCAGTTGCTGTCCCTGCTGCTGCAATCTCTTTCTCTATTCCCTTCCACTGCAGGTAGTTCACCTCCTCGTAGAAGACAACATCCCGGGTGATCGTGACCTTTCCTGAAATTACATCCTTTATCACCCACCCCTTGCTCACTGGGCAGGTACCGAGGTTAATCCCCCAATGAGCCTTGGGCAGCAACTTATGATCCGGACCAGCTGGCTCTCTGTATTGCACCATACTCCCCCACACCCGTGCAAACCCCAGATTCGGCTTCCTGCCATAGAAGGCCTCGTGGGGAGTCATATCTGCTTGAAGTCCCTTCGTAGGTAGGCGGTTCTTGGACCAGCAAGCCATTGCCAATGCATCACCCCAGAACTTCAGTGGCAGCCCACTGTCGGCAAGCATGCTCCTCACACTGCCTAGTAGTGACCGATTCACCCGCTCCGCTATGCTGTTATGCTGTGGAGTGTAGGGTACAGTCAGCTGCCGTCGGATGCCTTTACTCTGTAGAAACTTGTTGAATAGCTCACCAGTAAACTCCCCTCCATTATCTGTCCTTAAAACTTTCAGCACCTTCCCACTTTGCCGCTCCGCTTCCGCCATCCAAGTCACGAAGCTAGGAAACACTTCTGCCTTATCTTTCAGCTCCGTCACCCATGTGTGCCTTGTTCCCAAATCAGTGAAGGTAACGAAGTAGCGGCTGCCGTGACGTGATGCCACCCTCATAGGCCCACACACGTCGGCAGCTACGATGTCCAAGGTGCCATAAGGCTCATGTACCTGGTGGTGGGGGTGAGGGGACTTTGTGATTTTACCTTCAACACACTTGCTGCATTTTCCCTTGCTTCCAGCCCCCTCCTTCAGTGCCACACCTTTTACCATGCCCCTTTTTACCAACTCCTTGACCCTATCCATGCTTGCATGCCCCATGCGCCTGTGCAAGGTCTCCAATTCCACCTTCTCCATCCCAACCACCATGGCTGAAGCTTCCTGCTGCAGCTCCTTCACTGGTAAGCCACCAAGCCGAGCCTTCAACTCCTCCCTAGCTAGGTCCCCTTCGAGTGATGGCAGGTAGGTGGCATTCTCATCCTCCAGCCCCTTCTTCCTCAGCTTAATTTCATACAACCCCTGATTTCTGTTCCCTTCTGCAACCACCTTCCAATCGTCATTGAAAACCCACAGCTTCCCCTTGTCGCTGAAGGTTTTGCACCCCGTGCTGTCAAGTTGAGTTTGGCTGATCAGATTCAGTGACAGCTTCTCCACTAAAAGCACATTCTCCAGTTTCAGCTCCCCGTACTCTCCCTGGAGCAGCAACTCTCCTTCCCCCTTCACACTCAGTTTTCCTTCATCGCCCAACAGAACGTAGGGTACACTAGACTCCCTCAATCCGGTAAGCCACTCACGATGATTGGTCATATGTTGCGTGCAGCCACTATCCATGAACCACGCAGCTTCACCAAACCCCTTTGCCATCAAACACACTCCCGATGCCCTTGCCACGTTTGCCTTGTGAGCTCCCCCCAAAATTATGTCCGCCTCACTGTTTTCAGCTTCCACTGCATTTGCTTTTGCTGCTGTTGGTTGATTCTGCTGCTGGTTTGCCCCTCGGTAGTTCCTGCTGTTCGGGTTCGAGTAGCAGTTGGCTGCCCTATGCCCAATTTTCTGGCAATAGTGACATGCCCCTGAAAATCCGCCTCTCTGCATCTTGTTATCACCTCGAACCTCCCCCTCTCTCTGCCATCCGTTCTGCAGCCCCTTCTGCTGCAGACCGCTCCATTTCCCTTTAAAATTTCTGCTCCTTGGGTTGTCATAGCAGTCTATCTGCTTATGACCCTTCTTTCCACACTGAAAACATGCCCCGAATCCTCCATATCCTTTCCCTGTAGCTGCTGCGTTTACCATGGCATGAGTGGCTGGTCCCATTCCATTCAAGCTAACCTCCTTCCTGAGCCGATCAGCTTTCACCCGCTCCAGAGCTTGGAGCGTCTCCAACAGCTTGGTCATATTCACGGGTGGGTTGCAGGTTAGGAGCCCTATCTCTGCTTCCCACTCCTTGGGCAGCCCAGTAATGATGTACCCCATCATTTCTCCTTCAGTTTCAGCTGCCCCCATAGCCTTGAGGTCGTCATTGTACCCCTTCGCTCGATTCATGTAGTCAATGACCCTCTCCCCCGGCTCCATACTCAATAGAAGGAGTTTCTTCCGAATGGCTGCTTTGTTCGTATCCGTAAGCCCAAGGTAAGCAGCTTCCATGTACTCCCAGGCTCGTTCGGCAGAGTTCTCCTCTCCCGCAAATTGATCCAGCCCCACTGCAATGCTGTCAGAAACCGAATGGCACAATTGAAAAAAGGCTTGCTTACTCCTTTTTTTGAATGACGCATTTTCTTCTGGTTTTTCTTTTGCAGATGGTGGGATGCCCTCTCCCGTCTCCTTGTCGGGATGATAGTATGGCCAGAGATCGACTTCCTCCGCTCTACGAATGAACTTGAGTCGCCACGTGCTATAATTTTCTCCATGGAACCGTTGGGCCTCGCTAAGCCCAATCGTTGGCTTCGCCGTCAATTTAGCTTGTGCTAGCGCTGTTAGGATGGCCTGTAGTTCTGAGCCTCCAATGCTCACAGAGGAGCCCGAACTCGCCTCAGTATGATCGTCCGTCATACTTAGTATATTCCGCCTATCCTCAAAACGCTAGAACACGCCTTAAACCAGCTCTGATACCAGCTCTTGTACGTGCGCAGCCTTTAGTCTAGACTATGAAGACTATTTAGAGTCTTAGTAACAAGCATATGAAGCTCTGGCCTCAACTGTGTGAAGGAATTTGCTGGAAAACGTCAAGGCAGAAAGTTCAAGTAATTTCATTGAAGAAGGCATACAAAAACAGAAAACACAAAGCAAGTTATAAGCAAAAGGATTTCTGATTTCGCCCTCGCGCCGCGCCTACTTTCGAGCTGACTTGTACTCGGCTCAATTTCCAAATCCAACCATGCACCGAACGCGCCTCGAGTTTGAATTTCAGACTTCCTTGGACGCGCCTTTGACCCGGCGTGACTTCCCTTCACTTCACTTCAAATCTCGACATTTCAGCCCTGATCTTCTCCACATCCGCACGCTCCCTCTTGTTCTCTCCGTTTCTCACCATAGGTTCCGCCGCTGCCGTGTTCCTTCATCTACCGCCCCAACACAAGTAGCTCATATTCTTCTTAGGTCCTTACTCCCCCATAGTCACTGCTAGTCACACCGATTTCTTCTTAGGTCGACGTAGGTCCCTTTAGGTCGTGGTTACGCCCTCTGAGGATGCCGCGCGTTGTACGGTCTCCCTCCCATTTGGAACTCACGCACTCCTCTCCCACAAGCTGATCTTGTCGACCAACATTCTGCCTCCCTCCATTCCCCCACGGGCTCTCGCGGAACTTACAGAAATCTTGTCCCTTCCTTCTGCTGTGGCCCCTCCACCCATCTCTTCCTTGTGTCTCCTCACTGAACCAACGGCGTTTAATCGCTTCATCACCAAACCCAACGGCAGGCCTTTTGAGACCACCAAGTCTGAACGCTTTCTATTGTCCATGCAAGTCATGTCAGAATCCCAGCCACTAACCACTAGGATAAAAGGGCTTCTTTGTATAGCGGGTAAGTGCGCCCATAACCCCCTAGGCCAACATGCCTGTAACCCTTCCCTAGGATCAATCGAGGATCACCACTGGACCTCTGACACCCCCCCGCACTGGGATGCCCGAAGTGCACACTAGTGGGATTCGAACCCGATACAGCTCTGATACCATGTCAGAATCCCAGCCACTAACCACTGGGATAAAAGGGCTTGTTTGTATAGCGGGTAAGTGCGCCCATAACCCCCCAGGCCAACATGCCTGTAACCCTTCCCTAGGATCAATCGGGGATCACCAGTGGACCTCTGACAAGTCAGGCTTGGTAACATCATTCAGGTATCACTCGATGGACTTGGCCCCATCTCTACAAATGAGTTCGCCACCAAATTCCCTCATGTCGACCTTCAATCTGGCTACAAGGTCATCTGTGCTATTATACAGGCAGTTCCCAAGCCATGGCAGTATGAAATCCTTGCCCCTTCCCTTGTCGTGGCCTCTCCAGGGGACTGTTTTATTCCGAGTTCCGACCTACACTCTCCCCCCTCCCTCTTACTACAAATAACCTCTTTCACCCCCCCTTTCTCGCTCTCTGCCACGCTCCATCAGGTGCTGCCTAACGGTTTCTTTGAGTGCACCCCTCTCGGCTCTGGTACCTTCCAAATTAAAGATGTCGTGGCAGTCCACACTCAAGGTTATTGGGTGGCTGGTCCGCTGCATACAGGTGCAAGGCTTGGCGCGCGGCTGGAGGTTCTTCGTGATGGCGTCCCAAGCCTATCTGCTATTCGACAACTGCTATACACGCGACGGCCGCTCGACCACGACACCCGCTGGACCTACGCCCTTTCCTCCCCCTTACCCACTCCTCTCCCCGACCTCTCCCACGACTTTCTTCGAGAACAGCCCAGCCAGCAACGCGATCTACTATTCCGACTATATACTCGCTCTCTCCCTTCAGGCTCCCGGTTCCTGTTCTCAACAAATAGGGGCCGATGCTCGCGCTGCCAGTCCCATGACATCGAGACTATTTCTCACATCTTTTTCACCTGTGGAGCGGCCCCCACTGTGACGGCTGCTGTGGGATCCATTGCTCGATGCCACTTGGGCTGCAGCCCTCCGACCGAACACATCTTCTTTCCGCTTCCTTCTCGATCTGGCCGGACTGTGAAAATGAGGAAGGAATGATTGCATTGAGTAGCATGAGGAGTACAAGTAGGAAACCCTAAAGTGTTGTACCCCATATTGACTACCCCACTACAGCCTAAACAGACTATAGCATATATAGTTCGACACACCCCCATAGGCAAAGTGGGGGAGAACAAGGGGTCACAAGACCAGTCAAGAGAAGCAAGGCAAGCCCAGGGTGGATCACAACGTCACCACACAATCTGAGCACAAGCACAAGGCCACAAGGCCAGTTCACAAGCAGAGTTATACATCAAGAAGAACAAGCAAGGCAGTGATCACAACCTAGTAAGAGAATGCATGCAAGTGCAGATATATATCGATCACAATACAAGCAAAGTCCAGAGGTGAGCAAGTGAGGCCAAGTAGGCACAAGACCTAGCAAAGTACACAAGCGCTGATGATCACAAGGCGCAAGTGCCTTGGTGAAGACATCAGCAGTGTTGGCCTCAGAGGCCACGTAAGCAAGCCGCAACTGACCACGCTGCTGTAGCTCACGAGCGAGGAAGTAGCGGAGAGCAATGTGCTTTGTTCTGTGCTCCAGTCTCTTCTCTCGACACAAGGCCAGCATGGCCTTGTTGTCTACGTACAGAACTGGAGGAGAACGAGGCGGCTCTCCGAGGTTAGTCAGCAGGTAGGTGAGCCAGCGAAGCTCCTGTGCAGCCATGGCCCCCGCGTAAATCTCTGCCTCACAACTGGAGCCGAGAACAGAAGACGAGCGAGTAGCCCGCCACGAAACAGAGCCGCAACCAAGGCTGAAGGTGTAACCCTATGACGACCGCTGCGTAGCCTGGTCGTCAGCCCAAGAAGCGTCTGCGTGACCTGTGAGGACCACTGGACATCGCCCTCCAAGCACTAGCCCCATGCCCGACGTACTGCACAAGTAGCGCAACACCCTCTTCGCTGCAGCCATGTGCTCTGGTCGGTGTCTCCCAGGAGCAACATAGCGTGCCAAGATGCTAAGAGGGTATGCCAGGTCAGGTCGAGTGCAGGTCATCACGAACATGAGGCAGCCAACAAGCTCTGGGTACGGGCCACTCGGCTCTACGGACTCATCCGAAGGCAGAGCTGAGAGCGAGTGGCGAGTAGACAGAGGAGTGGCCTGAGGCGAGGAGTACGTGAAGTCGAAGCGCTGAAGGACCTGCTGCACCATGTGTGACTGAGTCAGGGTAATGGTGCACTGTGCTCTATCCTTGGTGATCTGCAAGCCAAGGTAGCTGCGCAGTTCACCCAGGTCTGTGCACGTCTGTCTCTTCTGCTGCTCGGACTTCACGTAGGCGAGTCCAGCAGTGTCAGCAGTGGCAAAGACCAAGTCGTCGACGTACGCGAGGATGTAGAACAGCGGCAAAGATGTGTCGGTGCGCAGAAACAGCGACGGGTCGGCAGTAGAAGGAGCAAACCCAAGAGCCGCAAGTGTAGTCCTCAGTGTGTCGTGCCACTCACGGGGCGCCTGACGGAGACCAGTAGACTGGCCGCCGGAGGCTCCACTGGGTACCTGGAGGGAACGACCCAGTGGAGCCAGGTGGGCGACGCAGCCAGATCTCCTCGTGCAGGCTGCCCTGCAAGAAAGCTGTGCTGAAGTCAAGAGAGTGAAGCTCGTAGTCGCGCTGAGCGGCTATGTGCAGCAGCACCCAAAGAGTGGTCATCTTCGGGGTGGGGGAGAAGGTCTGAAAGTAGTCAACTCCCTGCCGCTGACTGAAGCGTCGAGCCACGTAACGCGCCTTGAAGACAAGCGGAGAACCCGGCGGCCGCTTCACCCTGAAAATCCACATGCCACTGACGATGTTCGCCCCAGGTGGGGGATCCTCGTCGACGTAGGTGCCTGTGGACTTCCAGGAAGCCATCTCTGCGTCCATGGCTGACTGCCACTGTGAGGAGTAGGGACCCTCGATCGCCTCAGCGTACGATCGAGGAGTCAGGGATGTCTGGTGCATCCGGGTCTCCCTCAGGGGCAATCAGCGTGGACACGAGATGAGGCAAAGCAGCAGCAAAACACTGGAACTCCTCCTGCCTGTCCTCAAGGACGTCCGTGCTAAGAGCACACTCACCCCCGACGGACGGAGGACAGACAGACTCAGACTCAGCAACAAGACTAGCGGCGTAGTCTAGACGACAGCGAGCAGCAAAGTCGACAAGCTCAGCAACTAAGGCAGACGCAGCAGTGGACTCAAAAGAAGGGTCAGTGACAGCAGTAGCCAGGAGACGCGTGACAGTAGGACTGGCAGCACGAAGAGAGCCAAACTCAGGGTTAGCAAGAGTAGGAAGAGAAAAATCTGGAGGAGACGGCAACGGGACACGCGAAGGAGCAGTGGAAGGACGTAGTGCCATCTGCTGTGTGCCGGGGACCACAGGAGGACGCAGACGCGGAGTACGACCACTATTGCAAGCAGCATGAACAGGTGACGCAGGACGAGACGCAGGCTCACGACGCTCAGCAAGACCTCCAGTAGGACTAGTGTAGGGAGAAGGAGCAGGCAGGGGGGAGGCAGGCTGTAGTTGTGACCGCGACTGGACAGGCTGAGGACACGCTAAGGGAGGAGCAGGACCTGTAGAGGGCGGGAGACCAAGAACCTGCTCAAGGAGCGGAACGAAGTACGACCTCGGCCGCGCAGCGCCTCCAGAACCTGCAGGGACTGCACCAGTACCCCCAGCGGCAGCACCAGCGCCAGCAGCACCTCTAGCTCCAACAGCGACAACTCCAGCACCGTCAGAAGCACCAGCGCCAACAGAACCACCTGCGCCAACACCCCCAGCAGCTCCAGCTCCAGCAGCTCCAGCTCCAGCAGCTCCAGCAGCTCCAGCTCCAGTAGCACCTCCAGCAGGACTCCCAGTCCCAGCAGCTCCAGAGTCGCCAGGACAAGCACCTCCAGGACCAGCAGCAACAGTAGTACCTCCAGCTCCAGCAGCACGGCTCCAGCGGAGAGAGGAGTTCCCGCCTCGACGAAACACCGCCAGAGGCCACACGAGTAGACCCAGCAACCCCAGGCTCCGCACCCCCAGGCTCAGCACTCCCAGGCTCCGCACCCCCAGACTCAGCACCCCCAGGCTCAGCACCCCGAGACTCAGCACCCCAAGGCTCTGCACCCCCAAACCCGGCACCCGCAGGCACAGCGCCCCTAGCAGCACCAGAGTCAACAGCTACCTCGACAGGCTCAACTACGTCTACCTGGGACATTCCTGACGGGGCAAGACCCTGAAGGGGGAGGGGGTCTACCGGGGGAGGACCTGGCGCAAGGAAGAGCGGCGGTAGGGGAAGAGACAGTAGTAAGGCACCGACTCATCAAAGGTGACGTCTTGGGAGGACAGAACATGGCGCGAGGTGGGGTGGTAGAACCACCAACCAGGCGCATTAGGGGGGAAGCCAAGGAAGACGCAGGGAACAACACGAGGGGACAGCTTGTCCCAAGACAAGTCGCGGACAAACGCCCGAGATCCCCAGACCCGAAATGCAGACGCATCGCCAACCTTCCCTGGCGGGTGTGGTGGGACAGGAGACTACACGAGCAGGGCGCAGACTCAGGACCAGACCTGGACGCTGCAGCAAACACCTGACCCGACAGGACCCCCAGAGGGGTCCGCCAGGGAGACCGCAACCGGCGGACTAAGCGGCGTAAGCGTGGTGCGGTCTCGAAAAAAGGAGCGGGAAGCACCCGAGTCAATGGTGAAGGTGTGCAAGGCCTGAGCCGACGTAGTACCTGAGAGAGCAGACTCACCAGCACCTGGGGCAGCAGACGCACTAGCACTTGGAGTAGCAGCCTCACCAGCACCTAGAGCAGCAGCCTCAATGCCCGGGTCAGGCGGAACACACAGGTAACAGTCACCCTCATCACTAGTAGACACAGCATACATGGCAGAAAGAATAGCATCATAGTCAAGATCAAAGATAGCTACCCCCGCCCTAGACAGCTCTCCCCAGCGAGGGATCTCTGAGGCGTCAGGGAACTGATGACGCTAAGCGTCCGTCAGGCGGCCGAAGCAGCGCTGGGTGGAGTGCGTGCCCCCGCACTGCTCACCAGCGCGGTTGCCTGTACGAAGTACGTAGGTGCATGGACCAGTACCCCCACCCCGCTTACGCGCAGCGTACCACTCACGAAGCTGCTGAGGGGATATGGTCTCACGACCGCGCTGCTGCTGCTGGCGCGGACCACCACCGGAGCCACTCCTCTGCGCAGAGCCGCGACCAGCTCCACCACCACCTCCGCCGCCTCCGCCACCACCGCCGCCTCTGCTCCCTCCGCCACCACCGTCGCCTCCTCCGCCTCCACTGCTGCCACTTACACCTCCACCCCCACCACCACTCCCACCACCACCCCCACCCCCTCCACGGCCTCCACCACCACCTCCACTGCCCCCACTGGCCCCCCCTGCGCCCTTGCCCACCTTGCCCTTGCCGGTGCGACGCTTCCTGCTAAGGACAGACGCAGCGCCGTCCGACTCGAAACCAGCGAGGTCGGCCGCAGCAGCAGAAGCAACAGAGGGCAAGAGGGGGGAGGGAGAACACCCCTCAAAGACGGGGGTGCGAGGTGTCACCACGAGAGGCTCCTACAGTGACTATGCTCTTCTCTGCTGCTAGGAGGCGCTCCTCGAGGAGGTCAACAGTGAGTGTGGTGGGGCAAACTGAGAGGAAGTGGTCCTTGACTAAGCGAAGGGAGTCAGGGAGCCGAGTGATTATGTAGTAGAGGGTGATGTACATGGGGGGGGGGGGGGGGGGGTTCTTGGCACAGAACTCAGCGGGAAGCGCAGCGAGGTAGCGAGTGGCACTAGTGCAAAGGTGCGTAATGACGTCAGCGACAGTGGGAAAGGCAGCAAGGTCAGGGAACAGGTACGGCAGCATGAGGCGGCTAAGCGCAGCAGTGGCAGGGGATGTGAAGAAAGGAACATGAATGAAATGACTATGAATGAAGTGAGTACAAATAGGAAACCCTAGTTGGGTTGTACCCCCTATGGGATACCCCACTATAGCCTACACAAATAAGTAAGCTATAATATTCTGACACACCCCCATAGGCAAAGTGGGGGAGAACAAGGGGTCACAAGACCAGTCAAGCAAAACAAAGCAAAGCTCAGGGTGGATCACAAAGTCACCACACATTCCGAGCACAAGTTCAAGGGCCACAAGGCCAGTTCACATGCAAGACCATATATAGAGATATACAAGAGTCAAGCAAGCAAGAGCAAGAGTATATATAGGTCAAGGTACAAGCAAGGTCAAGAAGTGAGCAAGTGAGGCAAGAAAGGCACAAGGCCCAGCTGCGTGCAGCAACGCTGATGATCACAAGGCGCAAGTGCCTTGGTGAAGACATCAGCAGTGTTGGCCTCAGAGGCCACGTACGCAAGTCGCAACTGTCCACGCTGCTGTAGCTCACGAGCAAGAAAGTAGCAGAGAGCAATGTGCTTTGTCCTGTGCTCCAGTCGCTGCTCTCGACACAAGGCCAGCATGGCCTTGTTGTCTACGTACAGGACTGGAGGAGAACGAGGCGGCTCTCCAAGGTCGGTCAACAGGTAGGTGAGCCAGCGTAACTCCTGTGCAGCCATAGCCCCGGCGTAGAACTGAGCCTCACAACTGGAGCCAAGAACAGAAGACGAGCGGGTAGCCCACCACGAAACAGAGCCGGAACCAAGGCTGAAGGTGTAACCCTGTGACGACCGCTGCGTAGCCTGGTCGTCAGCCCAAGAAGCGTCCGCGTGCCCAGTGAGGACCACTGGACTGCGCCCTCCAAGCACTAGCCCCAAGCTCGACGTACTGCACAAGTAGCGCAACACCCTCTTCGCTGCAGCCATGTGCTCTGGTCGGTGTCTCCCAGGAGCAACATAGCGTGCGAGAATGCTAAGAGGGTATGCAAGGTCAGGTCGTGTGCAGGTCATCAGGTACATGAGGCAGCCAACAAGCTCTGCATACGGGCCACTCGACTCTACGGACTCATCCGAAGGCAGAGCTGAGAGCGAGTGGCGAGTAGGCAGAGGAGTGGCCTGAGGCGAGGAGTACGTGAAGCCGAAGCGCTGAAGGACCTGCTGCACCATGTGTGACTGAGTCAGGGTAATGGTGCGGCGTGCTCTGTCCCGGGTGATCTGCAAGCCAAGGTAGCTGCGCAGTTCACCCAGGTCAGTGCACGTGTGTCTCTTCTGCAGCTCGGACTTCACGTAGGCGAGTCCAGCAGTGTCAGCTGTGGCAAAGACCAAGTCGTCGACGTACACGAGGATGTAGAACGGCGGCAGAGAGGTGTCGGTGCGCAGAAACAGTGACGGGTCGGCAGTAGAAGGAGCAAACCCAAGTGCCGCCAGCGTAGTCCTCAGTGTGTCATGCCATTCACGTGGCGCCTGGCGGAGACCGTAGACTGGACGCCGGAGACTCCACTGGGTACCAGGAGGGAAAGACCCAGTGAAGCCAGGTGGGCGACGCAGCCGAATCTCCTCGTGCAGGCTGCTCTGCAAGAAAGTTGTGCTGAAGTCGAGAGAGTGCAGCTCGTAGTCACGGTGAGCAGCAACGTGCAGCAGTACCCGAAGAGTGGTCATCTTCGGGGTGGGGGTGAAGGTCTGAAAGTAGTCAACCCCCTGCCGCTGACTGAAGCCACGAGCCACGTAACGCGCCTTGAAGACAGGCGGAGAACCCGGCGGCCGCTTCACCCTGAAGATCCACATGCCACTGACGATGTTCGCCCCAGGAGGGGGGACAGCGTCAACGTAGGTGCCTGTGGACTTCCAGGAAGCCATCTCTGCATCCATAGCTGCCTGCCACTGAGAGGAGTAGGGACCCTCTATCGCCTCCGCGTAAGAGCGCGGAGTCGGGATGTCTAGTGCATCCGGGTCTCCCTCAGGGGCTAGCAGTACAGACGCGAGATGAGGTGAAGCGGCGGCCAGACACTGGAACTCCTCCTGCCTGTCCTCAAGGACGTCCGTGCCAAGGGCACACTCACCCCCGACGGACGGAGGACAGGCGGACTGAGACTCAGCGACAAGACTAGCAGCGTAGTCTAGACGACAGCGCGCAACAAAGTCGACGAGCTCAGTGACAAGGGCAGACACAGCAGAAGACTCGAAAGAAGGGTCAGTGACAGCAGTAGCAAGGAGACGCGTGACAGTAAGACTGGCAGCACGAAGAGAGTCCGACTCCGGGTCGGCAAGAGCAGGAAGAGAGGAAGCAAGAGGAGAAGGCAAAGGGGCACGCAGGGGAGCAGTAGACGGACGCAGAGACATCCGGTGCGTGCCAGGGACAGGAGGAGGACGCTGACGCGAACCGCGACCACTAGCGCGCGCAGTACGAACAGGCGACGCAGGACGAGACGCAGGCTCACGACGCTCAGTAAGACCTCCAGTCGGACCAGCGTAGGGAGAAGGAGCAGGCAAAGGGGAGGCAGGCTGTAGCTGTGACTGTGACGAGACAGGCTTTGGACCCTCTAAGGGAGGAGGAGGAGGACCAGGAGAAGGTGTAAGACCAAGAACCTGCTGCAGGAGCGGAACGAAGTACGGTCGGGGCCGCGCCGCGACGCCAGAAACAGCAGGGTCAGCACCAGTACCCCCAGCAGGAGTACCCGCTCCAGCAGCACCTCTAGCAGCACCTCTAGTAGCTCGAAAACCTCCAGCAGCACCACCAGGAGCACTGCCAGTCGGACCGTCAGCGGCAGTCTCAGCGCCAACATCCTCAGCAGCACCAGCTCCAGGAGAACCCTCAGACCCTAGCAGCGCCAGCACCCACAGTACGAGCACCGCCGGGACGCTCGGCAGCAGTACCCTCTGCAGCCGAAGAACCTCCAGCACCAGCAGCACGCCTCCAGCGCCGGGCAAACCACTCACACAGCTCTTGTGGGGAGAGTGGCTCTCGACGAGACGAAGCACCTCCAGGCGTAGCACCCCCAGTCTCAGCACCCCCAGGCTCAGCACCCTCTGGCCCAGCACCCCCAGGCTCAGCACCCCCAGGCTCAGCACCCCCAGGCCCAGCACCCCCAGGCTCAGCACCCCCAGACTCAGTACCCCCAGGCTCAGCACCTCCAGACTCCGCACCCCCAGGCTCAGCACCCCCAAGTGTTGCACCTCCAGGCTCAGCACCCCCAGGCTCAGCTCGCGCAGCAGCACCAGAGTCACCAGTGACCTCGACAGGCTCGACCGCGTCTACCTGGGACACACCTGAAGGGGCAGAACCCTGAGGAGGGAGGGGGTCTACCGGGGGGGGACCTGGCACCAAGAAGAGCGGGGGCGGGGGGAGGGACGGAGTGCGGTAGGGGAAGAGGCGGTAGTAGGGTACCGACTCGTCGAACGTGACGTCCTGGGAGGACAGAACACGTCGAGAGGTGGGGTGGTAGAACTGCCACCCAGGGGCGTCGGGGGGGAACCCCAGGAAGACGCAGGGAGCAGCGCGAGGGGACAGCTTGTCCGCAGACAAGTCGCGGACAAACGCCCGAGATCCCCAGACCCGGAACGCCGACGCATCGCCAACCTTCCCCGTCCACAGCAGGGCTGGGGAGGTCTCCGGCCTGGAGACCCTGGGGTGGAGGTTGATCTGATGCGCTGCGTACCTGACCGCAAACGGCCACAGAAAATGGGGGGCAGCCGCATGCATCATGGACGTACGAGCGACGTCCATGACCATGCCAATGCGGCGCTCTGCAATCCCATTTTGCTGCGGGGAGTCCGGAAGCGTGAAGGTCTGGCGGATGCCTCGCGCACGACAGTAGGCACGCAGAAGGCCAGAGGAGAACTCTACGCCTCTGTCCGAGTGCAGACGCAACACAGGAAAGTCCGAGCCAAAGCTCTGCCTGAGCTGGAGACAAGTTGCGCGGATCCAGTCGATCAGCACCTCAGTGACATCATCCTTGCTGCGCAAGGGGAAGACTGTGGTGTAACGCGAGTAGTCGTCAACCACCAACAGGAAGTAGCGCTCGTGACGGAGTCCACGGACGCGGGCAGGGCCCCACACGTCCATGTGAAGCGTCTGCAACGGAGCCTCTGTCGGAGGAAACTGGGAGGAGTGAGGGGCAGCACGCTGGCGCCCCTCGACACAGGGGACACAGGCAGGGCCAGGGCCCTGAGGAAGGGGAGGTAGAGACCGGGGGAGACCAGACACAAGAAGACGGGAGGCCATGCCTCTGAGCTGAAGCAGAGAGGGGTGGCCAAGGCGGTGGTGCCAGAGGAGGGTCTCGTGAGACAGACGACGACACGAACAGGGGGCAGACTCAGGACCAGACTTGGACGCTGCAGCAAACACCTGACCAGACGAACGGACTCTACCAGACTCAGCACCTGGAGGAGAAGCAGTGGTCAGTGTGTACAGGCTTGACCCTGGCTGACGTGTAAACGTAGCCAGGTGACGACCCGTGCTAGCCTCTGTGCAGTGCGTCACTCGCTGACGAGCAGGGGTGAACTGGTGGACTCCCGCATCCTGTAGGTCAGCACCACTCACCAAGTTCGTAGAGAACGAGGGGAGGTAGAGACCAGACAGGGTGCCAGAGGGAGCCGCCGGACACGGGAGGACTGTGGAGAAGCGAGACAGGACAGGACCCCCAGAGGGGTCAGCCAGGGAAACCGCAACCGGCCGACTAAGCGGCGTAAGTGTGGTGCGGTCCCGAAAGAAAGAGCGAGACGTTCCAGAGTCAAGAGTGAAGGTGTGGGAGGCCGAAGCCACGGCTACCTCCTCGTCGGCCCCTTCGTCTGCACTGGTCCTCTCCGCGGCACTGAGGTTGGCCAAGTTGCCGGTACCTTCGGCGCTGCTGCTCTGGTCGCCATCCTGTCCATGTGCTTGACCGTGTACGGCATTGCCTCGTTCAAGGAGGGCGCTCCCTCCACCGGCTCCACTCTGACTCTCAGCGGCCGCACGAAGGAGGCTGACAAGCTCCAGATTGCTGACGGCTGGGCTTCATTCGCTGGCGGTTTCTTCTTCGGTGGCCTGTCGGGTGTCGCCTGGGCATACATCCTGCTCTACGTTCTGGACCTGCCCTACCCCGTCAAGTAAATGGAATAGTACTTTGTATCTAGAAATGATATGAATGAAGTGATTTTTTTTTTTTTTTTTTTTGTAAAAAATGATTTCACTATGTTCATATCATTTCTAGATACAAAGTACTATTCCATTTACTTGACGGGGTAGGGCAGGTCGGGCGGCTCGGGAGGAAGGTCGCCTGGCGACACGACCGCTAGGCTGCTGGGCGGC